CTAGTGAGTACAACTTGCAGGTTCTTCGAGTTGCTCATAGCAAAGTCCAACAGGGTGCCAGGAGATGTTCTAACGATTATTGGCTTCAGCTCTGCTCTCAGATACAGACAACAGTGGACACAGCTAACATCAAAGGAATGTAGGATGGTATCAAGCAGGCTTTAGGTCCAATACAGAAGAAATCTGCTCCTTTGAAGTCTGCTACAGGCGTGATTATCCAGGACTGAGCACAGCAGATGGAACGCTGGGTGCAGCACTACTCTGAGCTATATTACAGAGAGAATGTAGTAACCGAAGAGGCATTAAATAATATAGAGTGCCTGCCTGTCTTAGAAGAGTTGGACAGAAAACCAATTACAGTGGTGCCTCACATAGCGATTGCTCCGTATAGCGATGAAATTGCCTTGTGACAGTTTTTGCAATCGCAAAAGCAATCGCTTTGCGATGGTCCCTATGGGGTATTTTCGCTTTGCGATGATCGCAGGGAAGCGATCATCGCAAAGCGCCCATTTTCACACAGCTGATCGGCAGTTTCAAAATGGCCGCTGGGTAAACAAAATGGCTGCCCGCTGTTTTCAGGCACTGATTCCTCAGTTTAGAGGCACCGAAAATGGCGGCGCTATGGAGGATCTTCGCTCAGCGGTGAGTTTTAAGCCCATAGGAACGCATTGAAGGGGTTTCAATGCGTTTCTATGAGCTTTTTAATATCGCATAGCGATTTTATTGCTTAGCAGCAATTTTTTCGGTACAAATTAACATCGCTATGCGAGGCACCACTGTATAGCAGAAATAAAAGCGGCCTTGGATTCCCTCGCCTCCAGCAAGGCACCTGGGAAGGATAACATTCCTATTGAAGAGACCATCACCACTGCACTATATGAAATATCTTGCTTTTGCTGGAGGGAAGATGGAGTACGACAGGACAGAAAGGATGCAAACATTGTCACATTGTATAAAAACAAAGGCGACAGGGGCGACTGCAATAACTACCGTGTCATTTCTCTTCTGAGTGTTGTAGGGAAGCTGCTTGCCCATGTTCTGCTGAAGAGGCTCTAGGTGTTTGCAGACAGAGTCTAACCAGAATCACAGTGTGAATTTTGAGCTAATAGATCCACCATTGACATGGTATTTTCCCTCAGACATTTGCAAGCGAAATGTAGGGAACAAGGACAGGCGTTCTTTGTGGTTTTCATAGATCTTGCAAAGGCCTTTTATTTGGTTAGCAGAGACTTCTATAAATACTTCCCAAGACTGGATATCCACCCTGACTCCTTAACATCATCAAGTCCTTTCATGAGGAAATGAAGGTCATTGTAGTTTTTGATGGCTCAGTATCAGATCCCTTTGACATCTGAAGTGGAGTGAAACAAGGCTGTGTCCTCGTGCCGACCCTGTCTGGGATCTTTTTTGCTGTCATGCTGAAAAGGAGGTTACTTACCTGTAACCATAGTTCTTCTAGTGGTCCTCTGTGAATTCACACAAATGGGTTGTTCTGCACATGATTAAAGAGACCAATGCCATCGAACAGAAGATCTTCAATCCTCAACTTGGCATAGTCGGACAAACCGATGGACCTAAGCCATGCATGCCAGTGTAGCATTATCGAATATGTTAGAGTTTTTGATGCTGTGTCCACCGCATGTCTAGCTGCAAACCTCTGTTGTTTTGCTAGAGATGTGGCTTCACTATGGGCATTAATCAGTCCAGTTTTGATTGATTCAGGTGCGGATTTCAATATTGGTAGACTTTTGTTCCAAAGCTGGCACTGGTAGGCGCCCATGGGAGCCTGATAATTGGCCACTCTAAGTAGAAATGATTGGAGTTATTAGCAGGTGCACCGAGGATTTATTTCTGGCCTTGGATTCTATGATAATAGAGTTAGGATTGGGATGTTTGGCTAAGAACTCAGTGTCTCTTCCATGTGTTTTGTACAAGTTTTCAGTCCTTCTTCAGATCTGTAATGTGGAAGGTGGTTTGTTCCAAGCTTCCTTAATTAATTGCAGCATTGATGGAATAAAAGTAAGGCTGAGTGGAGGTATTCTTTCTCGATTGATGTCATCAAAGATGAGATCAGCTTTCGGAGATGGAGGTTCTTCAACGTGGAACTGAATTGATTTGGCCATCCTGGATATCATTTGTGAATTGGATGTGAACTCCTCTGAGGGAGATGGGGGATGATTATCAATAGCATCTGACAATGGTGCAGGCAGGTTGGATGGTGATTCATCCGATGAGTCAGATCCTAAATCATGGTCAGCAGAAGATGAAGATGTAACTCTTTTTCTAGTTTCGGTACAAACCAAAGGAGGGAATTGCATATGACTGGAAGATTGAGGATGATGAGGTTCTGGTTCTGTTATCGGTTGGGGACCTGTATATGTGGTGGTAACCTGAAGGGATTGCTCACTCTTTGAGGAATGTTGGTAACGTTTGGAGTGGTCGGCATGGTGTGTGGATGCTGAGCACTTTTGAGTCAGCTTTGAGACCAAAGGTGTAGTAGGAGCCAGTACTGATTTTTGTGATCAATGCCACTTGTATGGCGGCGATGGCGATTGAGAATACACCCGTTGGTGAAGGGGTGTATATCACACACGCTTTGGCTCCTTGTGATGAGAATGTCCCTGACAAGCTTCCATCTGATAGGGATCATAGAAAGGAAAGCCTCCCTCCATGTCGAAGTGAGGATAACGTGGAAAAAAAGGATACTGGTAATATTGTCCATAGGGAGGCATATATCGAGGTGGAGAAATATGCTTCCATTTCTCCTGATGTTCTCAGGGAGAGTGTTGAGGAGACTCTGAATCAGAGAGTGGGGTTTAAATCACCCGCCCTTTTTCAGGGCTAGAATGGGCCGAGGCCTGACTGGATGGCAACTCAGCCACTGAATGGCCAGTTTGTGGAGATAGGCTACTGGTTAATACCGGAGACTGTGCCGTTGATAATTGTGGTTCGTCCCTTTCAGAGGTTGATCCTCGCACCTCTCTCAAAGACTCTGCCAGAAGTGGGGATGGTAATGTAGGTTGTAGGGGTTCAATGTGGACTGATTTACTCCTTTTGAGTAATCAATTTCTCTTTCTTTTCCTAGGAGCCTCATGGGCTCGAGCAGTCTTCGATGTCGACACCGAATTTTGTTTGGATGTCAACTTAGCCCTGTCTGAACCCTCTATGGATTGAGGGGATGGAGTCATCTGGTTGGGAGCAGACAGAGATTGTGTTTGTCACTCAACTGACCTATCCGGGGACTTAGTTGTCTCCACCGCATTTGTTGGAGGAGAGGATTCATGGCGGTTTCCAAAAGGTGAGACCAGAGTCTTTGGAGCCTCTGCTTAAGTGTCACTTTGGTTAATTTCTTACAGGCCGCTCACCCAGGCAGAATAGGCAATGTTCGTGGCCGTCTGACAATGGAATTTTATTAGAACAGCCAACTGACTTTTTAAATGGGACTGTTGAGGTCATAAAGAGCGGGAAAGCAGAAGGGAGGACAGTTGAAGAAGTGGGGATGGGTGGGAAGCCAAAAGCAGGAAAGGTGAAAAAACAGAACTTACAGGGGAACGTTGATAGTTAATTATAAAATAAGAAAGCATCAGTTTAAGTGGTAATTAGAAGAGGAAGCATTGAATAATAGCTGTAGCTCTCTAAAGAACACACTCTATTTTTCTACAGAACCAATCAACACAGCAGAAAAAAGGAACTGAGGGGAAACTTGGGTGAGTGGAGCATGTGCTCCATGGGGAACATCCCACTAAAATTGTTACTTTTAGCTATAGAATCTTCCAAGATATTCAGCGCAGGCGCAGAACAGCCCATTTGTGTGCATTCACACAGGCCATGAAGAAGAAGCACACTTTTGGAACTGCAACAGAAGGTGTCTATCTCCGGACTAGATCAAATGGAAAGCGCTTTAATCTCTGTAGATTGAGAGCAAAGACCAAAGTCCAGCTGAAATGCATGCGGGACTTCCTCTTCATTGTTGATGCAGCTGTTGTTGCCCATTATGCCGAAGACCTCCAACAACTTATGAATTATTTTAGCAAGGCCTGCCAAGATTTTGGATTAACAATCAGCCTGAAGAAAACACAAATCATGGGTGAGGGCGTGGACTCACTTCCCTCTATTATCATCTCTAGACAAGAATTGGAGATTTCATCTACCTTGGCTCAAAGATCTCTGCCACTCTCTCTCTAGATGTTGAGTTGGATAAACACATTGGTAAAGTAACTACCATGTTATCTAGACCACCGGTCCCCAACCTTTTTGGGATTGTGGACAGGCTGAGCCTCCGAGGAAGGCAGAGTCTTTGGGATTGTGAACAGGCTGAGCCTCCGAGGAAGGCAGAGTGTGTACAGGGGGGGGGGCGTGAGATCTGTCTTTGTGGCCCGGTCTGGCTCAGGCCACGGACTGGCACTGAACCACGAACTGGGCGGCTGACGACCTCTGCTCTAGACTCACAATGAGACTATGGCTTAACAAGAAGCTAACCGCATATACTAAGATCCAGGTCTATAGACCTTGTGTCCCGAGTACACTCCTGTATTGCAGTGAGTCCTGGACGCTTTGTGCACCACAGAAGAGGAAGTTGAACATGTTCTATATGAGTTGTCTACAATGCATTTTTGGCATCACCTGACAGGACAAAGTTCCAAATAGTGTAGTCCTGGAACGAGCTGGAATTGTTAGCATGCATACATTACTGAAACAGCAACGTATACATTGGCTTGGGCATGTATTGAGAATAGCTGACGGTCAGATTCCAAAAGATCTCCTGTATGGAGAATTAGTGCAGGGAAAGTGCCCCAGAGGGAGACCACAACTGCGATACAAGGATATCTGCAAGCAGGATCTGAAAGCCTTAGGAATGAACCTCAACAGATGGGAAACCTTGACATCTGAGTGTTCAGCCTGGAGGCAGGCAGTGCAGCATGGCCTCTCCCAATCTGAAGGGACACTTGTTCAGCAGGCTGAGGCAAAGAGGCAGTCCCAAAACCAGCAAAATCAGTGTGCTGGACAGGGTACACATTGTATTTGTCTTCAGTGTGGAAAGGATTGTCACTCTCGAAGTAACCTTCTCAGCCACACTAGACACTATTGCAAGACCTCTATTCAGAGCATGTTACCATAGTTTCTTGGGACTGAAGGATACCTACTAAGACTACTAAGAGTAGAAGTCATAGCCAAGTGTCAAGCATATTTAGATAAATCTAGACTATATTTCTGCCTGCTAAAACATGGGATAGTATAGACAGAGGTGACTTGTTCCAAAGATGTGGTAGGAGGAAGTGACTGAGGATTGCAGAGCCAATGCCAACACATACCCTGTTCCAAATTCCAGAATGAACTAGGCATTAGCCATTCCTGACTTGCCATATAGATCACAAATGGCCAAATGTGACTGAAGTACACTGGCTAGCTTTTAGATACAGTAACAGGTGCATCATTTTTAGTATTCTAAACTCCACTGATTTCAATGGAATAATAAAGAATACGCTTCAGTCCCTCTAATAAAAACAAATGAGACTTTAAAATGTTGCAAATTTGCTGGATAGTGACTAACTTTCTTTAACTACAGTATATTGTTTTACTATGAAAAGCACAGGAAATACTAAACAGATATTGACTGTGTATTATAAATTCATCTTAGGATCTTCAAGTTTACTTCATAAATACATACCTGTTATTAGTAGTGTGAAAAATGGATCTAGAAATAACACAAAAGCATTCAGATAAGTGAATACCTAATAAAAGATAATTTTAATATTAATTATAGACAGGAAGTCTAGTCATTCAGTTTGGTAGTCATTTCAAAAATTCACTGATGTTCTTATAGCTCAAAATGAATCCAATACTAAAATTGGTTTACTTGTTCCAGTGGTTCTGAAATATGTATCTTAAATTTGATGCACATGACCAATCTGAGATCAAAACCTCATTAACCAGCAGCTGCAAATCTGTGATTCTTCTTGTACACACATTAAAAAACCCCAGTTGGATTCTATCCTTTATTTTCAATTTTTAGTAGTTGTTATTGTGTATAATATTCTTTCTTAAATATTAAAGTTATAGAAGACTTTTTTACAAAATACAAGAAAGATTATGCAAACAAGTAACAGATTCTCATTCAACATCTCAAACAGAATTCTTGTAGCCCCATCAAGCGTTTTTGGCAGCCTTGACTTTCAGAAGCCCATGAGTCAAACACACCATTGTCCTATGGAACTTTGGAAAACAGCTTTTCACAAGAATAAAAGCAGAAACTATGGAAAGATACACATCCCAATATAAAAGGAAAATCCCATATCAATGTTTTGGTAAATTCAGACATAGAGATAATATAAAGTCAGTTCAGAATTAGTGATACATTTCTTGAGAGTTGGCTCTAGCCTTGATGTATCCACTTCTAGTTTCTAATCCTACATGTTACTTCGAAGAAAACTATTAAGGATCTACCTCCCAGCCAAAATATTCAGCTTGCAGATATAAATTTAATGAGCAACAGCTCACTTCCAGTCATGAAATGCCAGCTTGATGCCTATTTCCTGCTTTCCACTCTCTCAGTAAGACAAGAACCCTTATTTTTTCTTCTTCCTTCCTTCCAAAAACACCAGAAGTCTGGGGCCTTACAGAGAGGAGTGAAAAGTACAGCAGCAGCAGCACTAACCTTTTACCCTGTCACACAGGCCATTAAAAACTTGTATGGTTTAATGCAGCGGTCCCCAACCTTTTTAACACCACAGACTGGTTGGGGAAGGCAGAGCACCCCCCCTCCGCACATGTGCATAGGAGCGGAAGGCACTTGCGCAGATATACAAAGGGTGTGGGGGGGTGCTCAGGAGGCACTCATGTGCACTTGTACGCATGTGTGAAGGAGCAGGGGTGCTTATGCAGGTGCATGTGCACTCACACACAGGCACAAAGGGCTATGTGTGGGAGAGTGTGTGAGGGGGTGGGAGGGAGATCTGTCTCTTTGGCTCGGTCTGGCCCAGGCCACGGACCATGGACCGGGGATTGGGGACCCCTGGTTTAATGGACAGAGTAGGACCAGTACTTAGGAGACTTGATTTCAAATTTCTACTTGTCATGCAATCAGGCAATCTCAAGCCAATTGTTCTCGTGCGTACATATTTGCTAGATAATGATTTTTACATTTTTTTTTCCAGACAGCTTTATTGCACCAGATGATCTCACTGCCAAAACTGACACTTGTACTTTCTTTTGGCACTTGGCAGCAATGTGTCTTTGTCTCGGCTCATGGTGGTCCTATTTTTAATAGTAACTAGACTTAGAACTGGTTTAGATTATCTAAGGCAGGGATCTGAGAGAACTCCAGCTTATTGGTTACAGCTATGGGCCCAGCCACTTCCTCTTATCCTTGTTTGGCTTTTTTCTTTCCTAAGACATGAGAAGGAATCCAATCTTTGTTTCATTTTTCCCCCTCTCTAATTCATTTGGGGGGGGATGACAGGGAGCAGCATCTGTAATTGCATAGCATAGCAGAAGAAATTCTGTAATATTTTTAGCTGTTCCTCAACAAGCCGCAAATGGATAGCATGTATTAGCAGTCTATTTGTAACCAATAAACTAGGTTTCCTACTGATTTTTGGCTTATCATGGTATCCAAACGATATGAGTCTTTTAATATTCCATCTTCCAACACATTACTTCTGAGTGAATTGCCTATGCTCTTTAAACTCACATAAGAAACAACAGTGAAATGACGGCCTCTTATATGAGAACTATATTATTACACTTACTCAGAACACAAACTGGAAGTTTTGGTAACCATTTTCCACCACCAATGTATCGAATATTTTCTGGTCCATTGATTGTATAGCCAGGATCACACTTAATACTAGCATTATCTCCAGGCTCATATATATATTTCCTTCCATGTTTTATTTGTCCATTAGAAATATGCAAGTGAAAAGTGTCATGTGAGGTTCTAACTGAAAAAGAAACACATTACAAACAATATAATCCTGTTTCTGCAAATGTCTGACTTTGAAACAGTGACACATGCCTTAATTACTGACTGGAGCCAGTCACAGGGATCATATCAGTCTTATGTTATAACAGCTTCACTGACTACTAGTCCACTTGGAGGCCCAATTTAAAATCCTGGTCATGAGCTATAAAGCCTTATCTGGCTTTGGCCTAGGCTATTTAAAGGGTTGTATTGCCCTTTATAATTCTTTGGGATACAACACACTACACCAGAACACAGACAAAGTTCTAATGCCTGTCCTCTGAAGATGCCAAACACAGAGACTGGCGAAACGTTAGGAAGAAAAACCTCCAAAAAGCCCGAAAAACCTACAACAACTATCGGATCCCAACCATGAAAAAATTCGAGAATATATCTCTATTATCATCATGATGCCACATGCCTTCTGGGCATACAGCAAATATCAAAATAGCAGTGAAGAACTCCAACTCAGCCAGCACATACATTATAGGTGTTCTCAATAATTTTATGTTATATTAATTTCAGCCAGCAGATGGCAGTCTCTAATCACAAAAGCTCTTGAAATCAAGTACAGTACAGTAGTACAGTACTGTATATCACTTTCAAGTCAGCTCCATTGTACTAGCTAGGTCAAAGTTTTCCATTCCCTGCTGTACAGTACTTCCTGTGTTATCAGTTTCCAAATCTCTAAGTCTTTCATTGAATACTTTCTTTTCTCTGAATGTCCATTAAAATCCGTTTAACAACCTGTAGTAGTCTCAATCTAAGTGCAGCAAAAATAAAGCTTAAAAAAACCTCTGGCTCCCTTATCTATGCTATGATCCAAAGGGAAAGGACAACAAATAGCTGTTTATAACTCAACACTCTTTAAACAGCTCTTAATTAGGCTGATTTGTTTTAAAACAACTCTAGAGAGCTCTAAATTAGCCAGGCTGGAAGCAGACCCAATCATTTCGGACAAAGGAAGATAAAGCATAGTTTACTTTCACATTTGGCTGTTAGGACATTCCAGATCCAGCAAAGATAAATAATAGCCTCAAATGTTCAGCTCCATGAGTCTTCAAAAGCAAATGTAATTGTTTTAAGCAGCCATTTTGTGAACCACTTCTCTCTCTCTCTATCAGACACACACACACACACACACACACACACACACACAAACACTTAATCTCTTTTAGATATGCCATTACATTAAATCCCTATCTGAATTTATACCTACTGAAGCAAGGTTGTGGAGGAGGTTCCCATAAATTGTAGCCTTTACATTTCATTATCATCTCTATGGTTTCATCAGGAAAACAATAACCAGGATTGCAATATACAGAAATGACATATCCTACTTCATATTGGGATAGCAGTGGCTCCACTGTCCCTATAGGCATTACTGGGGCACCACACAGGTATGGAGTGACTGTAATAAGAATGAAATACAAAGAGTTACAAAAATAAGGCTAATATATAGACACTCTTTAATAGGCTACACATTATATACCCAGTTGATCACTTGAATATATATGAAAGCATAAGGGACAATTTACTGCCAATGAGGGGTCAATTACATTGGCCATCTATCCACAATTTGCTATGCATTGGGCACAGATGATTTTGATTTTAAACCTTGCAACTACATGATGTAATTTCAAAGTGGGAAAGCCCATTGTGGAATCATTTTTTTTTTTGTGAGGAATGATCTTATTTTGTTCAGCTAGCAGAGGAGGTTTAAATATGTTCCAATCAGGTTGACACTGCTTTTGTCTACTTTCTGGCTAGTGTGATTGCCTGATCCAAAGGCAAAGGGGCACTTGTGGGGAACGGTTTCCCTCAACTACAGTTGACTCGTTGCCCAATGCCTTTTGACTTTAAAAAGCAAGCTGCTTTAAGATACAGTTTATAGCAAGGGTGTGAGGATGTGATATATAAACACATCTATTTTTTCATTGCTCCCACCTGTTACCACCAGCAGCTGTTCCTTCTGAACAATCAAAAATATATTTGCAAGCACTATATGTAAGCAAGACTTGGAAGACACTTTGCAACTTCTGCTTCATTTTTTTTGTATTTCGAAATTATCTCCGTACTTGTCTGTTCTTTATTTAGATTATCTATATTAAAGTATAATTTTTTGTCTAAAATAAGGTTTATTCTGCACTTGCTGCTGTCTTGATTTCTGCCATGTACACCAATCCTCATGATGCAATTTACCTAGTCTCTTATCTTCAACCCTTCCTACATGCTAGATATTGGGTGAAATCCTATTGCATTGTTATGCAAAAAGCACAATATTCTGTGATTCCTAGACAACAGTTAAAAAGACTGCTGGGATTACTGAGCATGCACCAAGCCAATGCAGGTGCATACCTCCAAAGAACACCAGCTGAATTTGTTAACAGTCGTTCAGCCGCTGTAACGTGCCTAAACTATTATGCCAGTTTAGATTAGTGGTTTCCAGGGATGGGGCCTCAAGTCAGTGGACATGCTGTCAATCAGGACTCAGAACCAAAGACTTGCCAACATCCCTTGTGGCTTCATGTTATGTTTGGTTCTGGGTCAACTATTGCATGGTTTCCACAGATTTTCTCCACAACCTTTTAAATGCATAATAGGAACTTTGTTCCAGAAGGCTGATCATACACTTACCTCCTAACTATCTTAGGCCTTATATTTAGTATACATATTGTGTAATTACTACAATAATTATGCTGCTGTTTTCTAAGCAAGCCAAGATCTCTAAACATCAGAAGGGATTTTTTAAAATGCTGTCAAACAAGGAAACATAACATTCAGTTGTTTTTAAAATTCTTACTCTTTTTACAGGATGGAACCGTAGGGTGCCAGGTATTATTCTCACATTGAATGAAATAACTTCCAATCAAAAAGTATCCAATTTTACATTCAAATACCATGTTGTCACCAGAAGTATATGAATGCTGAAATCCACTCAATTTAATTCCATTTTCAACAGCTGGCTCTTCACATGTCGCCACTGAAATTAGACAGTAATCTTTTTAAAAACTTCTAGAAATTCATTTATACATTTGCAAGCCAGCATATTGTACCTCAACAATTCTGAACAATTAATTTTCTCTTATGCAGTTCATTTAATTAATACTCGAATTACTAATCTTCTCTGTAGCATTCCAATTTTAGCATATGTGCTGCTGCATCGAGCACAAAACCAAATTACTAATAAACTATTATTCCCAAGTATATCTATCAGAGTACAAGATGTAAAGTCCCTTGAACTAAATAAATTATATTGTTTAACACATGGGATTATAACATATATGTTTAAAAAAAGTTAAAGTGAAGGAAGTTATTTATACACCAAGGAGTTCTTCTCACCATTCAATCATACTCCCTTCTCTGCCTGGATGGCTTATGTCCAGGCGGTCAGTGCACTAATGGTTGGGAAATGCCTCCTGAGGCCCTAGCACACTGAGTCCCTTCCTCCTGGGTGCTCAGGGAAAAATACACACAAGCAGGTTGTTGCTCCTGGTTGCAAATCAACTCTGCACAGAACTTAAGTAACCCAAAATGCTTCAAAACCTCCAAGCATTCTTAGAGACTAGATTAATACCTTCAATCTTTTTATTCACAACTTGTATAGAATGCCATTACTGTATTTTATTAAAAAGCAAAAAGTAGCATAGTCTAGCAAAACGTTCCGGTAAGTGCAGCATTGACTACAAAAACTATCATCAGCTAACATGAGCAGAATTTATGGCATAATAAAGCTGTTCCCAAATAAAACAAAAAAACCCCTATCTCTTAAGCCACTGGTTCTTAACCTTGGGTTACTCAGGAGTTTTGGACTGCAACTCCCAGAAGCCTTCACCACCAACTGTGCTGGCTGGGGTTTCTGGGAGTTGCAGTTCAAAAACATCTGAGTAACAAAGGCTAAGAACCACTGTCTTAAGCTATACTCATGAATATATAGTTTCTTCATAGCAGGTAGCATAATACCATAGTGTGAACATGCTAAATCATGATGATGATCAAGATGGAGGGTTACTTCATTCTAACTCTCTCTTAAATCCCATCATCCTACCACCACAGGTAGATTCTTTTCGTTGGCCTTAGCTGTACCATCTAAGTTGGTTAATTAGCTCAACTTCAGGACTGCCTTCTCCCACCCAGTTCTGCCAGAGTCACTTGTTCTGGTCAGGCCGGGCAACTGAGGGGCCTAACGCAGAGGGAGGTCCGGAAGGAAAGAATGAGGAGTAGGGCCTTCTCAGCAGTGGCCCTTTGCCTTTGGAACAACTTGCCAGTGGAGACCCCCCTGGCTCCCTCTCTGGGTGTTTTCAGGAATAAACTTAAAACCTGGCTATTTGGGCAGGCTTTCCTTCCTGCCATATCTTAATTTCTTATATTTTCGCCACCTTGGATCTATAATATATGCTTTTGGTTTTATTGTTTTTAAATTTGTAAACTGCCCAGAGTAGACCTTTGGTCTAGATGGGCGGGATAGAAATCCCATAAATAAATAATAAATAAATAAATGCAAGGAATGTTCCCTTATCTTGAGACATTGGTACTAAGCACTCCACATTTCAAAACAAGCTAGCCTAGTGTTTTATTTTATAGTGTTTTAAGACTTGATGTTAACCCTCTACTTGCTTTATACATGTTACACACTTGATGTTAACTCCATAAACCATAATCCCCTTAGTTAGCATCCTGACTTGAGTCAGGGGGGTTTGGTAAATCAACACCTACAGAAATTCCACTGATTCAATGGCCCTAGTCTAGTTGTGATAAACAACTAGATTTCAAACAATGAATCAATTGCTTCATGGTCAGACAATACTTCTCTAAGTCTCACTGAGTTAATGAGTCTATTCTAGTTGGGACTACCAATGATACTGACTTTATTTAAAGAGCAAACTTTTAGAAATAACACTGTAAATGTCAGTCTTCTATCTTACAAGCAGCATATACCAGCACAAAGTTCTTCCATCTTCAGCCAAGAATTGCCAATGCATATACTAGTTTCATTTCTTCCAGGGATGTTTATAAAACCTGGTTTGCATCTGTACTTAACCTCATGGTTTTCGGGAACTGAATCTGGAACTGTATCAAGAACTGGTTCAGAATACATAAGCACTGGCAAATCAGCAGTATCACAGTCACCTAAGAATTGTTAAAAACATATTACATGCCTATGTATTTTTATTATGGGAATATGTTTAGATAATAAGCCTTATTATATAAAACATATGGTAGATAAGTAGTAATATGCATGCTATTTTTTATATAATTACTTTAAATACAGCTTATCTGACAATTGAGATTCAGCTGTCTTCAGCTGCTAATGTGTAAATGTCATCAAAATTAGCACAAATACTTTCTTGCACATCCTCATTCATTTAAAAGGAAAACTTCAGATTGGAATGCCCTTCTGTGGGGAGAGAGTAGCAACCTGGCACGCTGTCTTTTCTCTCCACAAAATCTGTTGAGTATCAAATTTCCAGAGTCCCTGTTGACTAGGACAAGACCATGATATCAGAAGAGTAAACAGCCCAAGAAATTCAAAAAGCCTAGAAATGGGAGAACAACCTCTGAGGGAGAGGAAAAACAGGCGGGGAAGAGGATAAAATAGGAAGAATTGAAGGAACAGACAACATAGAAGAAGAGAAACAAATAAAAGCAGTCAGGTTGGAGGGAGGGCTGGGTGTAAGTGCCTGAGAAAAGAGGGATCAGGAGGAACTAGAGTAGATTAAAATTCATGATTTTAAACTTAAAAATAGTATTTTTAAAATTTAATTAATCCAAGTTATCCGAGCTGAGATAACATGCACTTTTCCACAGTAAAAACAGTATAAAATGAATCAAGATCAGGAAAAGACCTTAATAGCACTGTAGTTCTGCAAATCTATATACTGTACAATCAATGCTGATGCCTGGTCTCGAAGGTCGAATGACTGGATAACAAAAGTTTGTGATGGTGTATTAAATGTTATGTTTATTTAAGAGTTATGGAATATGATTAAAGTGCAAAATGTGTTTGGATGTTGATGAACTAAGAGGTGTTTAGTGATGGGAAATAATAATGGTGAGTAGAGCTAATGTAATTTGTCTTAATGTGTGTAATGCAAATGTATTAAATGCTTTATTGTTATAATGGATTGCTTATACTGTATAATGTGATGTATTGAATATATAGAACTGATTGACATACAGATATATTTATGTGTTGAATTGGTTTAAATCCTAAATGGTAAGTGTATTATATAGTAAGTGTATTGGTTTAAAATATACCGTGTTCCACTGTTCATAAGGGTAAACTGTAAAATTTTCCCTCATGAGGCTAACTTATCTTAGGGGGGAGGAATGTAATGAGATATATATATGAGTGGTAGGGCCAATCATTACATTCCTCCCCCCTAAAATATATATATGTGTTTGAGGCTTATACTGTACAGTATATATATTCCTCATATATATATGAGGCTTGGCGGAAGGAGGAGCACAGAGTGTGTGTGTGAGAAGATACTGAGATAGATAGGGTTAATCAGAGAGATAGAGCTGATTAGGAAAATATGTAGAGAAGATGATGATATTTCAAGAAAAAGTATGTACTGAGAGAACTGTTGATGAATTGCTTATGTATACTGTGTCTCTGAAAAATTTCTGTTATTATTCAATCTGCTTCACTTCAATAAATAAGTTCTGTTTCTGTTCACAAGACAAGTGTTCTGACATATGTGATTTATATTGTGGATTGAAGTAATCCACTGGTGGCAGTGAGAAGAGAATGCAATGTGAGGTAAAAACAAGCAGGGGCCATGAGGGTAAACGTCGCATCCTGTCTCTTTTTGTAGAAGTACTATTCTAGAAATCTCTCTCTTGCTTTATTATCTTGACTTATACATTGCTCCATACATAGTTCTTGGAGCACTCCGGGGGTGTGGTGTGCAACATGATTATGTAAAGAACACTCTGCACCCCCCCCAGCAAGCTGAGCTCTCATTTTACCAACCTGGGAAGGCTTAGTCAAACTTGAGCTGGCTTCAGGTCATGAGCAGAGGTTTGAGTACAATACTGCATTTAATCACTGTGCCACTAGGCTTGCTTACTTGAATGCATTCATTTAAATCTATATAGCACTTATCGAAGTTCAATCTTTTATATGGTTACTCAGAACTAAGCTGTACTGAAACTTGGATTCGGAGACTAGGGCTTGTGATTGCCAAGTTGAATTCCCAAGTCATAAGTGAGTAATCTTAGGCCAGCCATATTCTTTCAGTCTGGTTTACTTCAGTTTTTATGTGAGGATACAGTGAGAAGAGGCATGTACACCACGTTGAGTGCACTGGAGAAAAGCAGGATATAAATGTAACTACTGCCATTAATACTTAACAATAGGGGAAGGTTTTCTGCAACATTTCACTTCTCTGTAACCTACATTTGAACCAGTAACCAAGTTCAAACATGTTTATGAGTAATTAATATTTCTCACCAGACTACTCAAAAACATGTTCAAATCCATTCATAAACTCAAACATAGGTTGCATAAAAAATGACATATCATAGAAATCCTCCCCCTACTTATGAATAATACTAACACCAGTATGAGTTCAAGTACCTTTAATCATTGTGTGGAGGTGAAAATTTTAGCAGGTGTGGACCATTAGAAGCTGCACCTGCTGAAATGTCCACTTCTCAGCAACAATTAAAAGTAAAGGAACACTGTCCTCTTTTTCATCAGGTCACTTTATTTATAAATATTTTTACCCTGCCTTTCTCCTGAAAAAGGACCCAAGGCAGCCCACTTCATTAAAAACACAAAAAAGCTTTAAAAAATTAAAATATTAAAGAATTAATACAGTAACATATTTAAAATGTTAGGTAAAAGCATGGCTAAAGATAGATTTAGAAGCAACAAAATATAAACTGCCCTGTTTTTGTCTCTAGAGGGTTAGTCGCTAAGGAAAAGCCTGCCTGAGGAAGCAAGCTCTTTGCCTGCTTGCAGGAGAACTGTAAAGAGGGGGCCAGCCGGGCCTCCTATGGGAGGAAGTTCCAAAGTCTTAGACCAACAACAGAGAAAGGCTGTTTTCCATGTACCCACCAAGTACACCTGTGAAGTGGTGGGATGGAGAGAATGCCCTCCCCTCATGATCTTAATGCCCAGGCAGTGTCATAGAGGGAGATAAGGTTTTTGAGATAACTTGGACCCAAGTTATTTAGGGCTTTATAGGTTAGGACCAGTACTTTAAATTGTGCTAGGAAACAAATCAGCAGCCAATGGAGTTGCCCTAGCAGAAGTTATGTGATCCCAGTGTAAACAGTCCCAGTTAACAATCTGGCTGCTACTTTAAATGCTACATATTTAGCCAAAAATTCCTATTAATTTCAATGAGCCTTAACCTCTGGGTGAGTACAGGACTACAGCCTAATTCTTCCTCTATTAGGGGAATATTTCACCTTTGAGGAATTTCGCAGACAACACCCATTCTAGTTGCAAACGGGTGCAAAAAGAATACCATTAATAGTTCGTGTTTTTTTGGAAAGCAAACAGGTCTTCAGCATTTTGACAGTTATAGCCCCCTGCTCGAACACATGCTTACTACTCCCTAACAGCCGCCAAGGAATTGGGGGGGGTGGGGGGTGTTGCATAGCTGTATGTTACCATAGTTAATTATGATCCGGTGGGGGGAATGTGCCCTTCTTGGCAGAGATTCAAACTGCTTCGTTTGCCTGAGAAACGGCAGTTCACGCCACAGCATAAGATACGG